AGAGCAGTGGCTACCCAAGTGTGTCAGTACACCACTGTTAGGTAATAAGCGTACACGTGTGGACCAGGTCACCTCTCACAACACAATGATAATTGGTTATGCTCAACTGTGCATTGTCACTTGCCATCATCTTAATTGTTGCAGTGCAAGCTCTCCTCGCATATGTTAACAGGTTGGGTGGAGTTGGTCTATTTCATTGTGTGTATTGGGATATGTTTGTGAGCTGGGTGCTCCGTAATTGATTTTTGACAGCGTCATCTTTGAGACAAGTTTGTGACAGTTGTTGAACAGCTCATGAGTGTATCCTTTTCAAGCTTGACCGTATCAGGATTGGGATGGAATCTGACTGACCACTCACATGCCTTTTGTTTTGTTTTTTTGTATTTATATTTCTTGATGGCTGACATAGATATTATTTAGGAAAACCAAGTTCTATGGATAGTCAACTTAACTTTATTGCAATGAGTGCAACGTTTCAGTGTAGGTACTAACACTGTTATCTAGCAAGTGATGTGAAGTTTTTATATTCTGGTGTCTTAGGTTCAGCTAACACTCTTTCAGACCTATGAAAAAAAGTAGACAATTTGTGCAGGAGTCACTAATGTGTGTTGCTGGTATGGTTATTTGTTCTCGGGACCTGTATATTTGTAACATAGAGCAATGACAGGGACAGGATGCTTGGACTGTCATGCTAATGCAAACCCTTGTTTATGTATCCAGAAATTCTTTTCTCCATCAACTGGAGTATGATAAGATGTACATCTGCTATAAGAGTTTCCGGGTTGTAGTATTCCACTGGGACTATCCCAGAGTTTCAGGACTGTAGTATTCCACTGGGACTATCCCAGATTTTCAGGACTGTAGTATTCCACTGGGACTATCCCAGATTTTCAGGGGTCAAGACTCGTATCGGGTATCAGGCATAAATACAATATCTCACACATCATGTAGACATTACATGTGCCTCACACATTATGTACACCGAGGTACATCTTGGTAGGCAGGCATCTGTTTACTGATACTTACAGGGTAAACTATTGGCTTAATACACTAGTACTTTAATGGAGGGGATAAGACAACTGTTGATACCTTTAAAACTATTCATTAAGGCTCGGGAGACACTTCTGTTACAATTAGAGGAGAAACTTTGTTCAACGTAGGGGAGACAACTTTGTTAAATGCAGGGGAGACAACTCTAAGATAAGGAGAAGCTACTCTGTAAAGACAGAAGTACACACTCACAGGACTAGATCTTTCTGTTGGTTCCTTTCTTCAGCCTTTGCTGGTTTGATAAGATCAGAACACTCATTTTTTAATAATGATAATAAGGATATTTATATAGCTCTTGTTCCACATCACTGCGAGACATGCTCAATGCACATAAGAGAGATGTTTTGAGATATGTGTATAGCTTTTCCCCATTTACTGGATATATATAGAGGAAGACATTCGTTGGATGTATATTTTACAGAGTTGAAATGACGACTGTTATCAACAAATTTGAAGGCTTGATTCATGAAATTAACGAGCAATGTCAAACTTTTTATCCCCTGTGATTATTCGATATATTCTACTCTTAAAAGTTGAGGACTACCTGATCATACCATGACAGATTGATATAGTGATATGAAAGAATAAGGTGTTAACTATTTTGGGTAGTCAATTACTTGACACCTGCAAGAAGATTTACCAACACTGAGGTGAAAATGAATATGGCTAGAATTCAGCCTGCGTATAAGTAAACTCCTGATAAACACACATTTAGAGATGATTATCATATCCTCTTCAAACTCAGTTTTATGCATAGGTTGGGGAAAAAGCACACTGAATTCTCCAAAACTGGTCTCCAAAGTATGCTGTTTGTGAAATAGGAGATGGATAACGCCAGGCAGTAAATTCTAGCTTAAGCCTGGAGTCTCAAATTTCTATTTATATTTTAAATGCTGTCACTTTTTTGGTATCCTCATCCTTTCAGTCAAAGTTTTTAGGGTCAGGGTCACTAGCATGTGGATTTCCTTCATGGAAATGGTGAAAAGGAAACCTTGACAAAACAACACCAATTTCCCGAATATGATATTAGAATTATTAGGGGCTATTTTCAGAGTTCATCTCAGTGTGAACACATTCCCGGCGGAGTTCTTAAGCATAATAGATCATCTTTGAGAAACATTATTGGCGAATATATTGCTTGCACTGACATCAGTATTCTGTTAAAAATCTTATTGCATTTGTTGTATGATTTCTGTCAGTGCAGAATCGCCCTGATGCACACACTGCAGATCAGATGTGCAGTACTCTGTAACCCGTAACTGTCATCACCTCAGTGGGGATTCTGGGTAAAATAGGTCCCAAGCAATGTAGGCCGGTCGTAAGGGGCGACTTAAAGCTTTGTCTCTGAATATATATAATTTTGATAGTAATCGAATAGTATACCCATTTAAATTGAAAAGAAGCCCGAGTGAGATGGGAGATTCAGAGACTAAAACATTGCATTGGGGCTACACGTGCTGATCCTGAGGAAATCTAACTTTCTTCATTTAGGGCTTTAGCATTGCAGGGAGGGCTAGGAAGAAGGGGAAATAATGTGGTTCAGGGACTGTAAGACAGACTAGGGACGACTTTTCTATCAAGTGGTTGGTAGTGTTGTAAGCCTGTCCCTGTTCATAATATCAGTCAGTGGATTATAGGGGTTCAGACTTCATTATTTATGGACTATGTCATGTAGCTTGAGTATTCCTGATTGCAGGGTTAAATAACAAATGAATGGTTTCGTTTTGAGGATTTATATCAACTTTGATTTCGGCACTGATGGTAGGATGTTTACTTATTACACCAAGGTGAAATGAAAAGCAACTTCTTGTGCAAACTTGAAACAGAAAATTGAAAAACCAACTTCTGTTGTAATGACGCAAAGTGAAAACAGATGGATATACACTGGTAATTTTTTACAAATTTTGGAGGAGCAATTTGGGAGTGTTTATTTCATTTTCTATCACCAGCACAGGGATCTATTTCCTTAAGTACCCAGCACTTGACTGAGGCTGAGGTTTCTAAACCTTGCCATGAGCAACATGTTTAAAACTTCAACTGTTCATTTGAGTAAAGACATGGGAATGTGGAGAAGGGGTTGTTTTTGCAGTGCTAGCTAACAACACCCATATAGTGTGGCGGGAGCTGCATGCGATACTCCTGCCACACGTCACATGCAGCAGCGATAAGATCAGTGACATCACACTCTTGACAGGAGGCACAGAGTTGCATGTCATCCCTGTAATAACTGCACATTTTTATGTCAGCCTCGCTGATGTAGAGCACAGCTTTTCTTGTTGTGGTGGTTGACGTCAGGTTATATCATTAGACGTGTTGTTTGTTGTTCTGATATTAGTTTATGTTTATCCATGTAGATTATGTCTGGCTTGTTGACATTAATGGTGTATGTTTTACAAGGATGAATTATTTGAATGTATTTGTTGAAATTAAACCTGAAAAAAGCATATTTTGGAAACTGCTAATCAGTTTGACATTAGTGAAAGCTTAAATAATTATAACATTATAAAACACTACACAAAGAGGCACATGCCCAACATAAAGATGTTCACTCAGATGAGAATGCATTTGGATTATGTGATATAAAATAAAACAATACCAAATTTGTATATATATTGAAACAGATCCATGCCCTTGGTATATTAATCGTTCAACATAATAAATTTCCTGTCCAGTGGATATAATCAGTGTGCACTCAATTTCATTCCTCAATACCCTGATGCGTATACACCCCAAACATCCTTTCCAGGGCTAAAAAGGTTTCACGAAATTTTTCATCCCGCTGGGTACCCATTTGCTACTGGGTGAACACAGTCATATATTGAACATAATCACCATACATTTGATGACTTGTTATTCAGGAAGGGGGTCACCATGCATTTGATGAAGGGTCATTCAGGAAGGGGTCACCATACATTTGATGACTTGTCATTCAGGAAGGGGTCACCATACATTTGATGTCTTGTCATTCAGGAAGGGGTCGCCATACATTTGATGACATGTCATTCAGGTTGTCACTGAAGTCTTGGGATACATTTGATGCTCATACATTTGATGATTTTTCCTTCAGAAACCATACATTTGATCTTGTCATTCAGGAAGCCACCCATTTGATGCCTTGTCATTCAGGAAGGGGTTGCCATACATTTGATGTCTTGTCATTCAGGAAGGGTTGCCATACAGCTTCAGAAGGGGGTCAGCATTTGATGACATGTGATTCAGGTTGTCCTGAAGTCTTGGGAATGCTCATGAATCATTGAAACTTTGTTCTACCAAACCTGATCAGTCACTCACCTATTGAAGTTCTAGAAACTATCAGGAATCAGGCTTGCCAAACTCAGTCACCCACCACCTACCTACTCTAGGCTCCCCTTATCTTTATCTTGCTTGTGGCTTGTGTGCTATGTACATCGTCAATCACCACAACCTGAAGAATGAATACATAAAATGCGGTACACTTACAGAATACCGGATACCTACCAGCCATATTGTTTAGTGTCACGTCACCCTAATCCTAAACCTTACCCTAACCCTAACCCAACCCTAAACCTTACCCTAACACTTACCCTAACCCTAACCCTAAACCTTACCCTAACCCTAACCCTAACCAATAGTAAACTCGCGTGCTTTCAAAGATGGCTGAAGGTATCCGGTATTCTGTAATCTTACCTAAAATGCATTATTTTCTACAACGCTTATTTGTATGTTGACAGTGCTGTACATTGATTCCAAAATTCCAGTTTCCAGACTAGGATCTTGGTTCGATTCACTTATAAGGACCGGGTTTGAATTTCCATTTACAAGGGAAATCACTTTTCAGAGTTTTGTGCTAAACAATGGTTTGAAGATGGTAACTGGTGCTTCAATATTCCAAGAGACCATACAAAGCATCAATCAAAAAACATTCCTTGGTCAGAGAAACAGATCCATTTTCTTATCAATTATATTTTCAGAAGCAAGCTGTGCATGTCATGCAAGGGCAATAAAGGATTTCCACAGCATTTATGACCCTGAGAGTCTGGCCTTCAAAGAAGGGGACATAATCACAGTGAGTATTACTGTCCAGTAGATGATGCCAGCAATAGTGGGGCAGTCTGGTGATGAAGACAGATCAGCCTGACAAATCTCCAGACTGCAATTACCAGCAACTTACTCACCTTATAGTTGCAGAACATTTTCCAGAGAGATTTTTTTTTAATGGTTAGTTTGAAATGTCAGAGCAAACTATCTCTCCAGATTGATGTTGGTGGAGTTTTAGAAGCCAGTAATTACACTAAGGTAATGTTCTTGCACGCAGATGTAAGCAGCGTACCTGTGGAAAGTGTTTATCAGTCATTATGATGTGGTATCTTTCTTTTGGTTAAGATTTTGTAGAAAATGGCACCAGAGAATAATCATTTTTCTTAGCTGATGTTCCAGTGCGTCAGGATTAAGACAGTAAGCAGATACAGATGAGCATGTGTTTGATTGGAGTTTCCACACTTACCTGTCAGGTTTTTCCTGATAACAGTTTTCTCAGGTGTATGTGTTGTTGGCATATCCTATGGGCATCTCTTCACAGCTGCCATTAGGTTAATGTTGATACCAGCATTATGAGAGGTTATGGCAGCCAATCGACATGCCTCATTTACAAAGTTTGCAATGCATTGTTACCACATGACCGATGTACAGCAGACCACCCATCCTCCTTGGCACCACAAGTTTGGTTCGATATCGTGTAGTAAGTGAGTGAGTTTAGTTTTACGCCGCATTTTAGGAATATTCCAGCAATATCACGGCAGGGGACACCAGAAATGGGTTTCACATATTGCACCCATGTGGGTAATCAACCCAGGCCTTTAGCGTGACAAGCAAACGCTTTAACCACTAGGCTACCCCACCACCCCTATCTTGTAGTAATGCTAAATGTATTACTCAAAAGAAGGTAAAATATAACTAGCCATGTCATGCCATAACAGATGAACTATAGTCATATCAAAAATATCAGGTGCTCTTTAACATCATGTTGAGTAGTTTATAACAGGTTTATATTGAAAGTGTTATTGAACTGTTTCTATATTTTGTCAATTTCACAACATTTTACTGCTGAAGATTTGCAAAAGGCTGTGTATGCATCATTTATTTATTCATGATGTTTTTCTGTAGGAAGCAGAGACTTGTCACACTGCATGGAACTGAGGCAGTTAACATGTGTTTATGTCTAACAGATGGTGTACTCACTGTTACGTACTGGCATTAATTCATAACCGCCACCTCAATGAAAATGTATAAACATTAGGGAGAAATGAGTTGCAATTTTTCTGATGAGACAGCACGTTTTGGATTCCCATGTTCCTATTCTTAGCCAACGTTTGTCTTCTATTGTCTGATTTCCAGGGGTCATAATTAAAGAACACACCCAATTTGGTACAAAGGTTTAATAGGATCCTGCACACTATGTGGTGTTAGAAAGTCACTGATACACCAACCGAGGACACTTTTGGCTGGGACAGTAATGTGCTTGAAATTGAAACAAGACATGTCACAACTTTCGTGAGGTTATTTGCTGTAAATTACAGGCATGGCTTTGTGTGCTATATACGCCCTGTAATTTAAACTTTTCAACTAGGTCAGTGAATTGGGAAAGTAACTAGCTGCAAACGAAATGGCATCTCTGATTCATGGCAAGTTCACATCATTTTCCATTTCATGAAGTTAACTTTATTACGTGGTAAGTAATTTGTTTATAAAGCCCAGCTGCTTGCACCAGAAACTGAAGTTCATAGTTTTCCTTGACTCCTTGTGAGAAATAAAGAGTGTTGAACATAATTTGCAGTTAACATTTTAGCATTGATTCTGTTGATTATGAATCTGAAAGGACAACTCTCTGATGACCCAGTGGTAAACAATTCTGCAATTATCTGTGTCCTTATTCCATGTACGAAATAAGCATTATGTCGGAAAGCTGTTATTAAATCTCCAAATCATCATCATCATCTGTGTCCCTTATCCATGTAGGGTTCTTGGTTGACACATGACATGTTGTCATGCTGTTGATCACTGGATTGTCTGATCCAAATTTGATTATTTACAGACATGAGCCATATAGCTGGAATATTGCTGAGTGTGGTATAAAACTAAACTCACTCACACTCACACTCACCCACCAAATTATGGTGGCTGGAATGACGGCACCAAAATGAATTTCTTGGTTTTCATTAAGTAGTAAATATCTTCAACATGCAACAGTTTTGGAAACCCCAAACTAATTCACTTCTTGTTTCCCAAGTTATATTATCTGTTAACATTAGCTAGATTAGTTTGGGCCATAGATGGAAAATGTTTACAAACATGGGACTGGCCACGTGTTACAGTAATAGAGAAGGGGAAAGGTTACACCCCTGTCTCACACCTCGGTGGCAAGTCCAAGCAGAGTTGTAATGTCTGTGTCCACAAATCACAGGCTTCAACACCTGATGATCAAAGTAAAAACTATCACCTTACAACCTTTCCACAGGAATTCTTTTATCTTTTATATTTTAGATCTTGTGATCAAATGTACAAGGTGGTGAGAAAGATGTTAAAATGTATAGTGTGCACCTCGCCCCAAGAGGATTTTGAAGGTGGATCTTCTGTGGCGTTAAGAAAGTTTTGTTTTTTTTCTTGTGTGTCAAGGTGAGACTGAGACGACATCCGGTGAATGCTGTGTGTGAATTACCACCCACAATGTTTGTAACACCATGTGAAAAAAGTCAGTTGTCGATAATCAGCTGACAAGGGAAAACAAACAAGGAAGATTGTCCACTAGAGATTTTTTCGTGTGCACTGGCAGTCCATGGGTAAATGTTTAACTGTAGCTGGTCAAACACAAGGAGATGGAGGCACGAGGCATTGCTGCATCCTATCGTCTTAAGTTCAAATACCATTTTGTTGAGTTTCCACTGGCAATCTCAGGACAAATCAAACAACCTTGTTTGCCCTTCTATAAATTCTTACCCCCTCATAGACTAAGGATTACACATGGCTAGTTGGCAAGTCTGTTACAAAGAGCTGCAGGACACCTTAGAGAATGCTCCCAGTTGGCAAGGAAGATGATTGGCTTGCAAAGTTCAGACTCATATGATTTGATGTGACAGACACTTGTTTTCTTGAGTAATAGATTCTTGTCAATTTCAAATGTTGGATGCTTGTTGATCTTGTGTGTCTACACTGACCTCAATGTAGGCACATTTATTAATAATTAATTAATTAATTATAATGACATGATGAGAACTTGTTGATTTCGGTTTTAGACAACACATGGTGATTGCAATGTGAATGACCCATTTCTACTCGTGATGATATCAACATTTGATTTTGCTATGATTTGTGAAATTTGAGAATGTGCAGGTAACGAGTTTTGTTAATGTAATTAGCCAACCTTGTTTGTAAATATATGAGGTTACCTCTCAGGACAATCACTGAAGAATGTTATTGATTTCCTGGGTACTATGGACTTGACATTGGATTTGTCTACATCTGCACTGTGAATAATGTAGCACCTGTATACGCAACAGAGAACACAACATACACCTACGAAATGGCTTGTGGATATGTTTATAAGACTGGAATGGTTCATTTCTAATCTCATTAAGATGAGAATGATATATGAAACAGCGGATGAAATTGGAAGTTTCACCTGATTCTGGAATCAATGAGTGTCATCTTTGTGTCTAGCAAGAGTAAAAGTGCTAGCGACTGATGTTGACTGCTCGCTCCTTCGGATTTGCACTTCGTTGACGTGTGTGAGGACATTTCTTGAGAGCTGCATGACGGACATAACTTGGCGTCTGGGTCTTGGTACAGTCGGCCAGCAGTGTCGTCCCTTGGCGTCCTGTCTGACAAGCTCCCATATTTCAACTGTCAAATGTTATTGACTGTATATTATTTACCAATGGATTGATTCTGGGTTTGATTGACGGGTAATCATTTGATTCAGGAATGTTTTTGTGACAGAATATAGCTGTGAAATGAACGTCTGTTAGATAAGTGCTTCAGCGTGTCATGATTACATATTACATTTTACGTATTTTCAACATTTACAAGTGAAGAGTAGTCTGTCATTGTGTGTTGAAGAATATCTTGATGGATCCTCAGACGTACCATTTGGTCACCAGACATGTATGTGATGAGATTGATTCCAGGACACGGTTGAGACTTCATCGTATGACCACAGAGAAGCCACTTGTTACTGTCTAAAGTTTTGAACATATTTCATCAATACAGACTGGAGCGACAGACTGGAGTGACAGACTGGAGCGAAGTCCATCGAAATTCAAGAATGGACTGTCATGTGCAGAAACGCCATTGCTGGAATTAACAGTGTCCACATACACTGAAATGTTTGAGGATTGTTCTGCTACAGGTTTGGATATCTGACAGACACACATGAAATCAGGTGGTGTTCATTTCTCCTTGAAATGTTGATTTGATGGACAAGATGAAGTCGGAGATATATTTACAAACTAGCTTCCGGCTATACTGCTGACACCTGAAACAAATGCTGATGTAAAAAACACACTCAATTGATCTGTGGATTTCAATAGAATTTGTTGTGCTGTGTCAGCGGAACTGGAAAAATCAACAAATGTGTACTGATTATGTCATGGTTGATTAACTAAGCCAGTGTGAACAAAATACACATTACGACGTAATCATTGTAAATTTCCAGCAAGCAATACGGTAATGTTTGCGGAAATTGTTTCATTGTGGCGTTATTGTTCTGTTTGTAATTAACAGACGTTATTAAGCAGGAAGAGAACCAGGATCTTAAAATTAGCGGTATGGTTTTTGTGGTATTGATGGTTCATTTCACATGGAACACTTTTGCTGACGACAAGTAAGTGAAGACTGTGAAATTGGCTACAAAGAGGCCTTGTGTCCCTGATCTACTTACCTGGGCGGCTAAATTGAAAATAGAAATAGATTGAAATTGGTGTTGTGATGTCCGAGATGAAGAAGATTGCCTCTCGTGATTCCCTGCAGTAAGGTTTTAGATTCTGGGGAGGGTATGCAACAAATTACTTGTCT